GATCTTTGGAACCTCCACGTGTGGTCCCTAGACGCGAGGAAGACTTAGGTAACCTACCGACTGCGGTGGTTAATACCATCACTCAGGCTAGAGCCCCCTCCACGAGGCGCGCCTACGCCCTGAAGTGGAGTCTATTCACTGAATGGTGCGTCTCTCGCAGAGAAGACCCCCGAAATTGCCAGATTAGTGTTGTGCTCTCTTTCCTTCAAGAGAAGTTGGACAGCAGGCTGTCGCCCTCCACTCTCAAGGTTTACGTGGCCGCCATCTCCGCTTATCATAGCGCGGTAGCTGGCGGCACCGTGGGAAAGCATAACCTGGTCATCCAGTTCCTTAGGGGTGCTAGGCGAATTAATCCATCTCGCCCCCCTCTCATGCCCTCTTGGGATCTCGCCCTCGTTCTCACGAGTCTGCGATCCGATCCCTTTGAGCCACTCGAATCAGTATCTCTAAGATTTCTGTCCCTGAAGACAGCTCTGCTGGTTGCGTTGGCCTCCATCAAGAGGGTCGGGGACCTGGAGGCATTTTCGGTCAGTGACTCGTGCCTGGAATTCGGGCCGGATTACTCTCACGTTATCCTGAGACCCCGCCCCGGTTATGTGCCCAAGGTTCCTACCACCCCCTTTAGAGATCAGGTAGTGAACCTGCAAGCGCTGCCCCCGGAGGAGGCAGACCCAGCCCTTTCTTTACTTTGTCCAGTTCGCGCTCTGCGCATTTATGTGGACCGTACTCAGAATTTTAGATCATCTGAGCAGCTCTTTGTCTGTTATGGCGGTCGGCAGCAGGGAAGTGCCGTATCGAAACAAAGATTATCCCACTGGATTGTGGATGCCATTTCACTCGCTTATTCGAGTCGAGGTCAGCCGTGTCCCCCGGGAGTACGTGCACACTCCACTCGGAGCGTTGCATCCTCTTGGGCGCATGCACGCGGCGCCTCTCTAACAGACATCTGTAGAGCTGCGGGCTGGGCGACACCCAACACATTTGCAAGGTTTTACAATCTGCGAGTGGAGCCGGTTTCCTCAAGGGTATTAGGTAACCCTTTGGTGATTGAGGAGACAACTCGGTAGGGTGTTGAAACACGCTTGCTGCGCCATTCTCCCTAACACGGAGGTACGTGCGCCTTTTTTATCTGTCAGTAAAGTTCCCCGTCAGGTGAGCCCTGCAGATTCCTCCGTGGCCCCCAGCACTGACTCAGCGGAGGAGTCACTTGCTGGCCCACTACGTTGTAGGTCTGCCCGCTGGTCAGCCCGCGTTTTGGGTATAGGTGCCTGCTATGCGTGATCCCCACTAGGCGATCCCATATGCTTATTCCGCCACGGTTAAGTCCCCCCCTGGGCGGACCCGTGTCTTCCCTCTCCGCTAACCACTCTTTGCTATGCGTACTCCCCCTTTTTAGGGCTAGTCCATAGGTAAATTCTGCCATCTATCCCCCCCTTGGGTAACGGATGGCCTCCGCAGCGTCCTCCCTATCGGGATTGCACGCTTCCCAACGTACTGTCGTATTTCCTAGAATTATCTAGATGCTCACGACTTCCCAAAAAATATATCTAAATCCGTAAAACTTCTGTTGAAGTAGGATAAATTAGGGCCAGGGACACGTTGGAGGACCGCGCCCCCCATGATGTGGGTGCGTCACGCTTGCTTGACTATCTCCTCATCGGGGGTGTTGGTAAGGTGCAGTCATTATGGCGCTTTCCATATTCTCCCATTCATGGCACTGAAGTTCCCCAACCGAAGGGGAACGTTCGAGGTTACAGAAGTAACCCTTCGTTCCCCGAGGAGGGGAACGGAAGTGCCATATTCCGTCGCCATAATGACTGTCCCTTAGCTGTTTGAAAGTCTCTTCAGCTTAAAAGGATGGCGTCTGCTGGCTTCAGGTGTGCTTATATGCTGAGATGATTGCAGATGTCGCACACCTGCGCAAGCTTACGCTGCCAATTAATTTCATTCATTGGCCCGTTCAATACTCTCCAGATAAGCGGCTTCTGATCCGAATCCTCCCATTCATGGCACTTCCGTTCCCCTCCTCGGGGAACGAAGGGTTACTTCTGTAACCTCGAACGTTCTACATTGTTATTTCCTATCTTGTTATTTCCTAGCACTGGTTATCCAGATTTAGGGATCCTGAAAAGTTTCTATACAGATCAGATTGACTCAATCCGATGTGGCTTTGAACAACTGCCTCGAAAAGTAAGTTGGATTTCGTGATCTGGATAAGTTTATACGTATTAAACCTTTTGAAAAACCGGGCCCAGGGGTTGCCACAGCGGAATGAACCACCAACTATTCCAGTCTATGTTTTAGACAGCAGATGCCTTTCAGCCGCAACCCAGTACTGGGAAACACCCATACACTCTTGCAATCACACACATACACTACGGCCAATTTAGCTTATTCAATTCACCTGTACCACATCTTTGGACTGTGGGGGAAACTGGAACACCTGGAGGAAACCCACGGCAACACAAGGAAAACATGCAAACTCCACACAGAAATGCCAACTGACTTAGCCAAGACTCAAATCAGCGATCTTCTTGCTGTGTGAGGCCACAGTGCTAACCACTGAGCCATCATGACGCCCTTGCTTAAAAATTATTAAGTAAATTGCCTGTGTGTACAGTTTTAAAAATGAATTCAATCTAAAAGATTTCAACATGCTTTCATACTTTTTTAAGTTTTCAACTTGTCGCTTCTTAAGAGGTAATTCATAACTTTGGTGTAAAATAGGCACATTTACATACCTAAATTAAATCCATATTCTGTGCGTTGTTTCCTTTTCCAGTCATTGGTTACAGTAAACTTAATAAAGACGTTTCCTCTGGAGATCACTTTTTAGCCATTACTATTTATGAACAAAATGAGATACTTTAATCAGAAATTACGAGTACAAAGGAGTTATTTTCAAAATCTTAACACAAAACAGTCTCCCTCAACACATGTATTGAGGGCTTTTTGGGGGAGGAACTGAATTTAACAATTTAAGAAAATATCTGGCATGCTTGCACCAATACATTCATCATCAGTAAAAGCTAGGCATACTCTCATTCAATTCAAGGTCGTACACAATAAAATATTCCCTGATCTTGACCCAACTTGCCTTCGATGTACAACCGAACCAGCCACACTTTCATCCTTTCTTGTCTTGTTTGATACTGTCTGATTTTTGGTGAAAGTCTTCAAGTGTTTTTCTGCTGTTTTTTCATTGTCAATACACCCAAACTCCTTAACAGCACTGTTCTGGAATCCTGCCAAAATATGTTGAATTAAACTCATTGCAGGCTGATAGTGTAACCTTTTTAAGCTTTACTGCCTAGATGACTTTTTCTTATGAATTGGAAGTCAGCAGCACCCCCTTCTTAAGGCCCGATCGGAATCTGCAGACGTTTTTTGCTATTTCTGCTGAGAATTTTGGTAAAAATCTGCGGATTTCTGCTGAATTATTTTGGGAGTATCACAACTAAAACCTTAATAAATAAAAAATAATACCTTTTTAACTTGTATTTACAATGCAAATCCGATTAGATTCGCTTCATTTGGTAAACAAAGCAAGTCTATCATATAATATCTCTACTAACGGACAGAAAATAAGACTTTACAAACTGCATTGTACATGAAACAGATGAACATTTTCATATTAGTCAATAATTTTCAGTTATTGTTTTAAAAACTGAATAAATATAGAGTTAAACACATTTACACAAGTAAATAAACAGAATTATTGATGGGCTAAAAATCTGCGGAATTCTGTGGAAAATCGACGGAATTCTGCAAAACTTATTGGCAATGTTTTTTTGGGTGTTTTACATGCTCTTAGAATGGAAAAGATGTGGTTCGCAATCAAACAAAAGCCAGAACAGTTTCAGAAAGTCTAGAGCCCTTTTCTAAAATAAATTAGGGATACATTTATATCTTAATTGATTTTGTTTTTCTCTGTATATTTAAATTTTATTTATTTTCTTATTCTCTCTGTTTGATTTTTATTATTATTTTTATGTCATCTTATGTGGCGAAGCTGTGGCGCAGTAGGTAGTGCTGTCGCCTCACAGCAATAAGGTCGCTGGGTCGCTGGTTTGAGCCTTGGCATTTTTGTGTGGAGTTTGCATGTTTTCCCTGCGTTCGCGTGGGTTTCCTCCGGGTGCTCCGGTTTCCCCCACAGTCCAAAGACATGTGGTACAGGTGAATTGGGTAGGCTAAATTGTCCATAGAGTGTGAATGTGTGTGTGAATGTGTGTGTTTCCCAGAGATGGGTTGTGGCTGGAAGGGCATCCGCTGCGTAAAATCTTGCTGGATAAGTTGGCGGTTCATTCCGCTGTGGCAACCCCGGATTAATAAAGGGACTAAGCCGATAAGAAAATGAATGAATGAATGAATGTTATCTTATGTGTGTATATTTTTGTGTATATATGTGGTATTTTACCTTATTATTTATATACTTATAATAATGTTTTCCTGATAATTTCTTGTTTGGTGAATTGCATCAGTGCGTGATACAATATATATTATGTATATTTTATTGTTTGACCTAAGATGAACCTAATAAAAGGAAGAAAAAAATTAATTTCAAGTACATTTCACACAAAAAAAAAAAAAATATATATATATATATATATATATATATATATATATATATATATATATATATATATATATATATATATATATATATATATGAAATGGCAAGTAATTTTGGGTAAGAAAAATAAACATAGGATTTTATATAATATACAAAAAATATTTTTTTATTTACAATTTACACCATGTCACCTGTAAATGGAGCTAAAGCAAATTACTGAAGGTTGTCATCTTTAATCTTAACAATTAAAAAATTGTTTGTTTTTAATAATTTAGCTCAGTTTTAATCATTTTTATTGTTAATATCAACATTCCAGTTAATATCTAAGATAACCCTTCAAAATAACAACAATAACAGTGTTTAATATTTCATTTGATTGTGGTTAACAACACTGAAAAACACATATAATGAAAGTTTAAGCACAAACCTGTGTGATCCGTGGTGCTGATAATGGTTTGGGTGGTGTTGATGGTTGTGATGCTGATGGAAGTGTTTGTAAACTTTGACCTCATCCTCCGAGGAGCCGCGCACAGGCGTAAAGTATCTCTCCATGTCTTACTAATCTACCACTATCTACTTGACGCCTCCTTTGTAGTTCTAATTTCTTTTTTGTGCACTAAATATGTTATCCTTGTAGCTGATTTTGATTAAAGTTTGCTTTAATAATTAACTCCAGTTATTTAAAGAAATGCATTGAAAAGTGCATCTGTTAATAAGCAGTTGTTTATCCAGCAGGCTGGAGCAGCAGGAGTGACAGAAGTCTAATGCGGTCAGGAGTTTCTATCACCCGATATCCATCAGACTGTGATGTAATGAGTCCACATTGAATTAAGTGAAAACGCAGCAGGAGCACAATCGATTAGGCTTTGGTGAAAGGACATCGCATGACATGGAATTTGGGTTATGTACACAACAGCGTATGATTGAAATTCATAAGGGTGCTCGGACACATCACAATAGATTTATTGGAAGACATTTGTCTATATTCAACCAACAGATCTTCTTTATCTTGCATGCATGTGGCCGATTTATGACTTACAGAGATTCTGTCATTTGTGTTTGTAAATAAGGGACATTTAGCTATTTCAGTGATCACGTCTACTAATTTCAAAGACCTCAGAAATCTGATCATCCCCAAAAAACTACTTAAAATATCAGTAAATGTGCATTTTTTCTGTGTTTTGTGATTCATGTTTTTATTTTTTTTACTTCTCCATTTATGCTATTAGTGTGCATTATGGGAGCTTGTTCTTTCTTCCAATGACCTTTAAAGTTGAAAAGTTAGATAAAGTGACTTAATATTTTTTATGGTTTAAGGCAGAGATGGCCAAAGTAGAGCCCACAGGCCAAAAATGGCCCATTTTATCATTTGGTTTAACCCACCATCCTATCTGAGTGGGAGTGAGACTGATGGAGAAGGTTAGGTTGAATGATCCAGACACAGAGATCGTCATTTCTAGTTTGATGTAGCCTTTTTTTGCTTGTTTTAATGCTACAAAAATTAAATGTTACTATTAAATGTTGTAAACAAATCTGAGTTTTTTAATATAAATACAGTCACTCAACAGATATCGGCAAGCGAATCAAGGCAACAACTAGTGTAATGCTGTTATAAATCAGATTGTTTTGTCTGTATAAGTTTATTATAAAATGTTTTTTAATACTGTATTAGTGAATATAAAGCAATGTTTTCTAGTCATTTTAAACATTATTATATAAATTGGAAACTATATTTACTTTCAGCCCACTAGCCTCAATTAAGTTTTTTTTTTTGGCCCTTCATAAGAAAAAGTTTGAGCACCCCTTTTTAAAGTGATCTATTGTCTGGGTTGGTGTTGTGTATTACGGTACGACAATCTTGTAATAAGCTGCCAGTACATTTGCTGTTATTTTACAGACCTTTTTTTCTTTTATTTTCTTTTATTTCTTTTATTTATAATATTTTAAACTACTAAAATGTCACTTTGTAAAAACGTTATTTTAAAGACTTTCATGTTTAAGACTTTAAAGACCTATTTATCTCTATAGTATTTCATTAAATTACTTCAAATTACTAAAATGTCAAAAAAATCACTTTGTTAAACTGAAGAATTTTAAACTTTAAAAGTGGACAAATATTAAATATATATATATATATATATATATATATGAAGTCAGAATTATTAGCCCCCTTTAGATTTTTTTTTTCTTTTTTAAATATTTCCCAAATGATGTTTGACAGAGGGAGGAACTTTTCACAGTATGTCTGATAATATTTTTTCTTCTAGAAAAAGTCTTATTTGTTTTATTTTGGCAAGAATAAAAGCAGTCTTGAATTTTTTAAAAACTATTTTTGGGACAAAATGTTTAGCCCCTTTAAGCTATTTTTTTCGATAGTCTACAGAATAAACCATCGTTATAAAATAACTTGCCTAATAACCCTAACCTGCCTAGTTCACCTTATTAACCTAGTTAAGCCTTTAAATGTAACTTTAAGCTGTATAGAAGTGTCTTGAAAAATATCTAGCAAAATATTATTTACTGTCATCATGGCAAAGCTAAAATAAATAATTTATTAGAATTTTTTTTTTTTTTTTAGAGATTTTTAAAACTATTATGCTTAAAAATGTGCTGAAACAATCTTCCCTCAATTAAACAGAAATTGGGAAAAATAAATAAATAGGGGAGCTAATAATTCAGGGGGGCTAATAATTCTGACTTATATATATAAATTATAATAATCATTTATTTTATCATTGCCATGTGCAGTTAATAGTAGTAATAGTTATTTTTTAAGCATAACTTGGTAATTTAGGTTAACTAGGAAGGTTAAGCTATTGGACAACAGTGTTTGTTCTATAGCAATTGGAAAAAAATAAATAATTTGGGGCTAATAATATTGACCTTAATTAAAAAAAAATAATGTATGAGCCAAACTAAAAGAAATAAGACTTTCCCCACAAGAAAATATCATAGGAAAGTACTCTAGAAAACATTTTCTTGCTCTGATAAACAGCCTTTGGTAAATATTTGAAAAATAATTTGAAATAAAAAACTTTTTTAAAATTCATGTAAAATGTAAAAACTAAAACATGCTGTGAGTCAGTCAGTCATTCACTGCACTCTCAGAAATAAAAGCACACGATCTGTCACTGGGGTGGTTCCTGTTCGAACGGTACAAATTTGTACATAAAAGCTCCATAGGGTGCTAATATATACTTTTGGGGTACCAATATGGACCCTTCAAGTACAAATGTGTACCCTTTGAAAAGGTACCACCCCAGTGACAGCGTTCCTTTATTTCAGGGAGTGTGTAAAAAATGTTAACTTACTATAGTTTTTACGAAATTTAAGTGGATTGAACAATTAAGTTGTCTCAAAAAACTCAAGAATTGAGTTGTTTCAGCTCATTTTAAATACGTAGTTTAAACAAACAGCAAACATCATTTATTGAGTGCTCTCTAAATGTAAATTATCTGAAAGACTGTTCAGATCACCAAGCGTTCACACTGAAATGGCTTGTTCTGTTATAATGCTGATCAAGCAGGGAGGTGAGAATTGCTTCAGCTTTTGTTGTTTTGTCAGGCAGATCTGATTCACTCAGCGGTTAAACGTTTTCATCAAGACAATTAACCACAGTTTCGCTTTACTAACAATCTAACTGTGGTTAAACATATTGTAGTCCATATAATGAAAAAACAGGCTAAAATGTTATTTTAAATATTTGCTAACCATTTATTCATTCATTTTCTTTTCGGCTTAGTCCCTTTATTAATCAGGGTCGCCACAGCGGAATGAACCGCCAACTTATCCAGCATATGTTTTACGCAGTGGATGCACTTCAAGCCGCAACCCAGCATACCACTCATACACTACAGCCAATTTCATTTATTCAATTCACCTAAAGAGCATGTCTTTGGACTGTGGGGGAAACCGGAGTCCCCGGAGGAAACCCACGTCAACACAGGGAGAACACGCAAACTCCACACAGAAATGCCAACTGACCCAGCCTGTGAGGCGATCATTCAACTAACTGCGCCACCACGACACTGTTGTGCTAAATATATTTTTGCAATTGTAAGGTTCAATAAAACAGTTTTGAAATCAAATAAGTTTTATTTCAACTTTTATTTAGGCTATACTAAAATATAATCTTTTAACCTTTATTTCAGAGTCAAGAAAATATGTTTAACACAATAATAAAGCAGGGATTCACAAACTTTTTCTTATGAAGGGCCAAAAGACGAACTTTATTGAGGTTAGTGGTTCAAATTTTTTTGAAAGCACTGCTTTATATTAACTAATACAGTATAATTTTTTTACATTTTATAATAAACTTATTACAGTAAAAATACAGTAAAATCTTATTTCTAAGAGTAGAGTTACACAGTTTTTTGCCTTGATTTGCTCGCCCATGTCTCCTGCATAGTCCACCATTTGTCATGTGACTGTTTACATTTTAAAAATTCAAATTAATTTACGTTTAATTGAAACATTTAGTTTAAGTTAATTTTTTGTAGCTCAGCAATAAAGCGAACACACAAAAAAAGGTTACGTCAAATTCGAAATGACTATTTTTGTTAAAGGCATTTGACCCAACCCTCTTCATCATTCTAAAATGGGATGGTGGGCCAAATCAAAGGTTACAGTGGGCCAATTTTTACCCACGGCCCCTACTTTGGTTAGCTCTAATCTATCTTTTATTTAAATTATATTTGGAAGAATTGCAAATAAAAGAAGAGAAAAATTACAAACAGAGTGGGTAGCACAATCAGAGTGTTCAAACTCACAGCATGAAGGTTTCCGGTTACAGTCCTGGCTGGGTCAGTTGTCGTTTCTGTTCGGAGTTTGAAAGTTCTCCTTGTGTTGGTGTGGGTTTCTTCCGGGTACTCTAGTTTGCCCCAAAAGTCCAAAGACATGTGGTAAAGGTGAATTGAATAAACTAAATTGTCTGTAGTGTGAGAGTGTGTGTGAATGAGTGTGTATGGATGTTTCCCAGTGAAGGGTTGCAGCTGGAAGGGCATCCGCTGTGTTAAACATATACTGGATAAGTTGGCGGTTCATTCCTCTGTGGTCGGACTAAACCACAAAGAGAAGGAATGAATATTTGTGTTAAAATATATGTAAATTTCTTTAATATATAGTTTTTGAAAAATATTTTAGATATGATTTATATGGACATTTAAATATGTTTTAATGCCAAAATACATGATTACTGCTCTTTTTCTATTTTAAAGCCATATTACATTTCTTAAGAAGAATGGCCCCTATACTGAACGTTTTCTGTGATTAATGTGAGTTTGATGCCATCTCGTGGATAACATGTAAATAACCAACCCACCCACAAACACCCAGATCTTTCCAAACATTTCCACAACATTCGTCACATCACTGATTGTAATGGCACACAAACACGTGCTTTGACTCAAATGACTCGATGAAGTACAAAAAAGAGATAGTAATTATATTAATAATGGGTGGAAGAGTTTGCATGATGAGTAATTTGCATGATGAATCTGCGAACTCGTTTCAAATGCTGACTCACAACATCATGACGACAGTTGCTAAGAAAATTAATAATAAATAAATGCATTGCGTACGTCTTATGGAATGGAAAAAAACAAATCAGCATTATATTGTTAAACACTGCCATTTACCTTTGATAATGCCAGAAAATTAAATAGCATGTGTTTATTTGACTAAACGTGATGTAAAACCGTTATTAACTAATGGAATTATGTTTTACTAAGCATTTGTCACTTAACAGGTTTGTACCGGTCAGTAGATGATGCAAGTTTAGACACAAACAGGCTAAGATGGCTAGTCTTTCTTGTTTTTTAAGTGTATTTGTGTTCCCATCCCCCTTCCCTT